ATTAAAAATGGAACGATAATTAGGTAAAAATATCACTGCATTTGATATTCTTATTGACTAATTGACTGAAAATAAAAAAGAATAATTGGCTGAAAATTAATTTGATATCACTAATTGACTGAAAATATAAAAGGATAACTAATTGAGTAATATTCTACCATTATATATTTAAACCCAAGTAACCTGTCCTGATGGATTGAAGGTGTTAGCTCTAGACGAAGATGAATAAGATTGTGTTGTCACTACCAATGACGTCTACAAAGAGGTTTCAATAATGTGTAAATATAATCGGTGATATTAAGTTTTTTTTTAAATGAAAAAATTGCTATATATCTAGACAAAAAAATATATCTTCCATACAAATGAATAAGGATACCAATTCGTTTCTATAACTGAGTTGTTAGAGAACGAGCACATTTGTCTAATTTATGAAAATACTAAATAATGATAAATAAAATCTTCAAAGTTATAGCACCGTATGCATACATCTAGACATTACTATTAATTAGAGCAATTATTTGCACAAATTCAAGCAATGATAACATCAAAATATATAAACGATCCAAACCATATCTTTAATTGCACTATTTAATATTTGACGTTCTAATTTAAATAATTATATATCGATTCATATATTCTTAATATATTACAACAAATTCATTCCGTGCATCGCACGAGTGTAAATACTAGTATAATTAAAAGTAAAATCCTCCTTCTAGCATTTTCCCGCCCAAACTCATTGTATTGGTCAACTTATTTAATTATGCTAAACTATGAAATAATTAATGATGGTAATAGAAATCCTAGAAGAATATAGAATACAAGAATATTTAATCATGGTTATATTATATTACTGTGCCTCACGGAATATAATACAAGAATATTTAGTTATGGTTACATTATTATTGTGCTCACCGTCATTATATACTAAAAGACATTTTATATTATTATTATTATTATTATTATTATTATTATTATTATTATTATTATTATTATTATTATGTCATTATGTAATAATAAAATAGAATTACAATAATAATATTATTCATATAATAATAATTAAAACAAAATTATATACAAAATGAAATTAAAATTTAAAAACATAAACTAAAAAAAAAAAAAAAAAAAAAAAAAACAGAGAGACAAAGGGGAACCCGTCTTTGGAAATGATGTTTGATCCCACATCAAAAATGTTTGGAAAGATGAGTTCTTGAGCTCCTCTATATAAGAGGAACTAGGGGTGGGCACTTCAGTTCGGTTTATCCAAACCGAACCGAACTAAACTGAACGGTTCGTGATTTTGTAACCCGAATGGTTTAGTACCTAACCGAATGCTATATAATTTTTTTAATAAATAATAATAATGATAATAATAATAATAATAATAATAATAATAATATAATAATAATAATAATAATAATAATAATAATAATAAAGAAGTAAATTCAAGTTCCTTGATGCTTGCTCCGCGGTTCAGTTCTCATTCTTACGGGTACCGAACCTTAAATTTTTTATTTGATTTCTTTATAGCTTGTTTTTTACATTGCACTTTTGTTGTTTGTCGCAATTGTTCTTTACCTCACAATTATATCTAACTTGAGTTATATTTACAATATTCAGTATTTTTCTTAGTTTCATGTTTTTCTATAAATTTAATGTGCTTTACAGTCATTCTAATTTTGATTTACAGTGCACTATAATTATTTTCTAGTACTGGAATATATTTCGAGTGCACTAGCAATGACAGATTGTGTCCAAAAATTAACTATATAGTAATTGACATTTGTTCTTTTAATATCAACTATACAGATAGATGATTATTCATCTTATCAATAAAAATATTCCAACTGAAGAGTCGGTTGTGCAAAAACGTTAACTGATGTTTGGTAATTAGTACTTAGTATTGTGTTTGAACTTTGGATTGCTATTTTGTTATATAATGTTTAGAGTTTGAATTTGGATTATGTGAATATGTATTGTTTGGTAGTATGTTCGAAAAATTAGGAAATGTTGAAATTTGGGGATCTTAAACCAAACCGAAACCGAACCGTTTCAAACCGAACCTAAGCCGAACCGAACCTTAATGTTAAACCGAATGGTTTAACTTTTTTAAAACCGAAACACCGAAACCAAAACCGAAACCGGAAAAAACCAAATCGAAACCCGAAACGCCCACCCCTAAGAGGAACAATGCTCCCCTTTCAAACATAATTGCTTGCCCATTAATATGGACACGTATTGAGAAGCCAAAAGATTCTTATTTAAGAAGTCTTAGTTTAATAACTTTTTATTTTAGTTTTTTTTTTTAAGAAAAAACTTATTTATTAGGGGTGTTTGGGAAATATTAACTCAAAATGTATATGTGTTGTTTAGTTTTTAGCTGTTCGGAGCAAATTGCTGAGTTTATTTTTGTTGTTTTGATTAAAGAAAAAATGTTAAAATGGAGAATTTGTTAAAATTTTTGAGAATTTTTCAATAATCAAACAAGGTCATTTTCCATAATTATTATGGCAATTAACAATTTTTTTGGTTCTGATTGGGCTGGCTGTCCTGAGGATCGTAAGTCAACTAGTGGTTATGCTGTTTTTCTTGGTACCAATCTTATATCATGGGTATGTAAGAAACAAAGAACTATTGCTAGATCATCTAGTGAGGCTGAATATAAAACTCTAGCAGATGTCTGTGCTTAGGTAATTTGGATTCTCTCTCTACTGCGTGAAGTTGGCGTGACAGGTGTGTCTACTCCCAAGTTGTGGTGTGATAATCTTGGTTCTACATACATGTGTGAAAATCCTAATTTTCATGCTCGGACTAAGCATGTAGAAATTGATTATCAATTTGTTAGAGACAGAGTTGCAAATGGAGATATACATGTTAATTTTATTTCGACTAAGGATCAACCGGCAGATATATTTACTAAAGCTCTACTTGGCCCTAAACTTTCTTTTCTTTGAGACAAGCTACAAGTCACTACTGTACCTTGTGCTTGAGGGGGAGTCCAATTTATTAAAAAAAAATAAAATTGAGCCCCTAAAAATTGGAGCATGTGTCGTTGCCCTAGTCACACATGGCTAGGACCATCCTTGAGTGCAATTGTTATATCATGGGCCATGATCTACCTTCCATTGTAGACTTTGGTTCAAAACGACATTCAAATTATATACTTGTAGTTAACATATTATGTACATTTAGTTAATAAATTATGTACCTACTACAATTAATATATTATGTATATACATTTAGCATATTATGTATATGCAATGAATTAATTATGTACCTATTATAACTACTACAATTAACATATTATGCACATGCAGTTAAAATATTATGTACCTGCAATTTATTTATATAAGTACATAATCTTTTAACTAAATGTACATAATATGTTAACCACATGTATATGAAAGGTTGGTTCGGGTATGACTATGAAAGCTTTGTGGATGTGTCGAGAAGAGTAATGCAATGAAGGTCTCGGCTGCAGCAGGCGTGAGGTGCTCTTGTCCATGTTAGTTAAAAGTTCAATGCATGCCCAATTTGTAAAAGTTCAATGCATGCCCAATTTGTTTGTTTGGGCCGATCCGATTCGGTACGGTCTATTTGCTAGAATAGGCGAATTAGAGTTAGTTCGTTTTATACTACAGAAAGTTCAGTCATGACCTGACTTGTTTGAACCGGTCTTGATCCGATTCGATCCATTGCTACAATGGGCAGACTTGACCCGACTTGTTTGGGTCAGTCCGACTCGATCCATTTGCTACAAAATAAACATGCTGGCTATGGGGTTCGAACCCATGCGCACTTATGTGCAGAAGATCTTAAGTCTTCCCCCTTAACCTCTCGGGCAAACCAGCTAGTATTGATACATCTTGTTGTTAAATGATACAGTTCCAACAGTTGTTTCCTCCAACAAAATGGGCAACAGAGTTCAATGATGGAATAATCTATTAACTGAATGTATATAATATGTTAACCATATGTATATAAATTAAATGTTGTTTTATATTAGGGTCCACAATACAATGTAAATCCTGGTCCATGATATAATTTGACTTTACTTAGTTTGAGTGGATTGAAAAATTGACCAATGAAGTAAAATCCTCTTTCTAGCATTTTCCCGCCCAAACTCATTGTATTGGTCAACTTATTTAATTATGCTAAACTATGGAATAATTAATGATGGTAATAGAAATCCTAGAAGAATATAGAATACAAGAATATTTAATTATGGTTATATTATATTACTAGTAGTTGCACCCGTGCGGTGCACGACAATATGGATACGTAATTATCAAAAAAAATAATTGGATAGTGAACTAAATGAAAATTTTTTATACATTATTGAATACTTCTTTGTATACGACTTTTGTAGTCGTATTTTTAGATTTTACAGTTTCATCCCAAATAAGAATTTTTAATCCCTTAGGATTACTAACTCTTGACACTGCTACATACATTTGACCATGATTAAAAACCGGTCTCTTAAAAAACAAACCCACGTTGGATAGTGTCTGGCCTTGGCTTTTATTTATTATCATTGCATATGACAACATTAGTGGAAATTGCTTCCTTTGGAACTTAAAAGACAATCTTGCATCAGAAGGTGTTAAGGACATCATTGGAATTAAGACCTTTGTACCGGCACTTGCCGCGCATAGTATTTGAGCTTCTAAAACATGATCTGCCAACTTTGAAATGATCATTCTTGTACCGTTGCACAACCCCAATGAATGATCAATATTCCTCAGAAGCATAACTGGTGAGCCAACTTTTAGAGTCAATGAGTGATTTGGAACTCCTGAACACCTTAAACCATTTAAAAATTCTGCAGTGTGCAGATCAGGAAGCATGTCAACATTTGAATTAGATTTACAAACCGAATCACAACTGAGATACGTCCTTCCTTCGGCATTATTATAGTCATTCATGTATTCATTTACTGCATCCACAATATCCAAAGTTGGTGTCAAAATAGCACGATCTTTTAGGTATTGAATATCACTCTAACCACTGCAGAACATAGGGAATATGTTATCAACAATTGTAGAAATTGGATCCTCAACACAAATTAGCACTAATTCTTCAGGAATATTTATCTCACATTCTCCATGCAAACAATCACCAATTGTTCCATCACCTATATTAGCAATCCACTTTGCAAATTTTTCAATCTCTTTAACTTCAGTATCTGATTGCAATGACCTAAGCCTGAGATTCTTTGTTAGCCTAAATACTTTACAGCTTCTCCAAAGATATGATGCATTTATACTTGCTCCAACAATATCTTGCCTGGTTCCCTTTGGAATGACTGGTAGAATCTGTCTGAAATCTCCACCTAACACCACGGTTTTCCCACCAAAAGTCATATCCAAGCTTTTTGGATTTTTAGCACGCATGATATCTCTCATAGTACAGTCTAAAGCTTCAAAGCAAAACTTATGCATCATCGGTGCCTCATCCCAAATGATCAACTTACTTTGCATTATCAACTGTGCCAAAGGACTACTTTGACTGATGTTGCAGGTTGAATCTTCATTAACAGCTATTGGTATTGAAAATCTTGAATGCGCAGTTCTACCTCCTGGTAGTAGAAGAGATGCTATGCCACTTGATGCCACGTTTAAAACTATATCACCCTTTGACCTTAAAGCAGAAGACAATGCTCTCCATAAGAATGTTTTTCCCATTCCACCGTATCCATAAACAAAAAACAGGCCTCCCAGATTATTCTCAGCATCTTGCAATACTTCTCCATATATAGCCCTTTGTTCTTCGGTGAGTTGATGCACCAATTTATCATTCTATTCCATCATGACATTAATATCATATGCTAATTCCTCTTGTATCAACCGATTGGTGGTTCTAGCATGATTCTCTAAATCCGGTACTGGCATCAACAGAAAGTCTTTCAAACTCTTTCCCATAGCAGAAAACATTATTTGTATCTCATGAAGTGCAAAATTCTTTTTCTCATCTTCAGATAAAATCAAATCTGTGATAGTATTATCAATCGCATATTATAACTATGTGTATACAAATAATTTGTACAACATGAAAGTACAGAAACAAAATATTACCTGTAATCCCCAATTGAGCACTAATCTTGAATTGTGCATCCTCAGCCAAATAGTGCCAGGCAGCTTCCCACACAACTTCTGGTTTTCCCATTGAGTTTGACATTAATAGGGTGACAAACAATATTCTCAAATTTACACCTGTCGCCCATTGACTTTCTTCTTCTATAGCATGAACATATTCCCTGTCGCCGTCGACTAATCCTCTTGCAGAACACGCATCCCTGAAAGATTCATATTGCACACCGTCTACTTTTTTTTTTATGTCCAAAAAACATGTGGGCCCTTTTACTTTATTCAAAAGACATTTCAAATAAAATATCTCCCCTGTACCAGGTGGCACATAGAAAACTCTACCTATTGCAAATCCTCTTTTCCTTGGTTGCCATTTCCTAACATCTTTCTTCCATACAAATTTAGTTGGCATTTCGGCATATGTCAGTTGTCTTGCAGCTGGGTAGGTTTTATTTGCCTCAAACCATTCTAAGAACATGATTGTTGGACGGCTTAGTATGTTATCAACTGGATCATCATCTGCAAATACGCCACTTTGTTGATTTGGCAAGTGAAAGCTTAATCGCTCAACAGCTGGTGTCCTTAACTGTATATCAAATCCAAATAATCGCCAAGATGCTTCACATGGAGAGATGTACCAAAAATCATAGAACATACTGATTTCATCAATAACTTTTGGACATTCTGCATCGCAGTTGGCTTTGAAAAACTCTGCTGTTACCCTGTCATGGCCCTTGTTGACGTACTTGAACAAATACTTGATTGAACGGGACTGATTACACCATCCCACGTTAATATGAGCTCTTTACTTTTGCAATAAATGTCTATTGTGTGGTACTACGTACCTATTATCCAACTGAATACCATTACGCATGACAGACCGGCCATTGTCTCGTCTGTGATATATAGGATAACCATGCTCGTCCACAATTGACAAATTAACAAACTTCTTTGGAAAGTGTTTAGTACATTTACCATTCGCCATACATGGAGAAGTCAACTGTGCTTTCCCGCAAGGACCATGCATCATAAATTCCTCAACAACTTTGAAGTATTCTGGATCTGTTTCTTGGTCAGGTAACTCAGCTAAAATAATGTTGTCCAGATTTATACCACTTTGCGCTCGATTGTTTTTATTCAGGAACAAAAGTATATGAGCATGCGGTAGACCTCTTTTTTGAAACTCTATGGTATAGATCACTGTTAACAATGAAAAAGATAAGAAAGTTTAGAATAGAGCTAAATCTTGGGACATTGCTATGGGTTAGAAACTTCATCATTAAAATAGTAGCTTATTTTTCACGTACCTCCAATGACTGGGCCAAATAACTTGTTCTTTCGACATTCTGATAGTAGGGCATCCAACTTCAATTTGAATATTCTACAAATTATGTCTGGGCGATCTTCTGGCCTTAATTTTCTTGTATTCAAGAAGCGTTGTACCTCAGGCCACTTGGGGTTGCAGAATTGACACGGTTGTCAATTTCATTGTTCGTATCATAGATATACAGCTGTGCGAAATGTGGTTTCTTACCGTCTACCGAAAATAGAGTACCAATGTAGTGGAAGTTCTGGCCATTTATACGGAAGATTGGGGGACCACCGTTGCTGTTCACGTTTCGGTCTATTTTACCACCCATCGAAGTGAAGCAGAACATACTATTGTATGCTCTAATGTTGTGTAGAAATTGCTTGTTTTTTTCTCCTTCTCCAAAAAAAAAGATCATATATAGCTTGTGGTGGCACCATCGTTTGTGGCAATTGGATCTTACCATTGTTGCAACACAGGTTATATTTTGGGTGGCCGCGATTATCTGTTTTGTGTGTCCTTTCTTCGTACCAAAAAAGCGCTCCACAGTGTTGACATGTTATAGTTGCATCACCAAGATCTTGGTATTCCACTAAGTTGAGAATTCAAAACCGATTAATTAAACTGTAACATATGAATTAGAAGACCGAATAATATTATACATACCAGTATTGAAAGCAGTCAGTTCTGTAATTTGAGACTTATTTGCTTGTTCGTCACCTGATTGGTTAAAATTTGAAATTCCAATTGTCGACTGCATTAGTACTGTAACTTGGTTTGTGCACGATGTCTCGTTGCATTGTTTTGTACCTACCATGTACATAAATCATCTTATCTATAAATATTTTGAAACATATCCAAAAAATTGTAATGACATTATAATTTGTATACAAATAATTACTTACCATTTGCACTTTCTTGGATATGTTGTTGTGTAATTGGTGACAATCCTACGTAGAATATATCATATTAGTTTCCCAAAAATAATAATCCTTTTGGGTGTAAGAACTAAATATGACTGAAACAAAGAAGTAAACCATGAAACATTTGCAAACTACTACTATTTAATATTAAACGTACCATAATTGTCTTGAACGGTTTTAGAAATTATATCCATATTGGAAACTCTTCAAAATCTTGAAACAAATCTCGGTTGACAACATTACACTGGATAACAGTTTTACCCTCATCCATGCATTTCCTTTTGTTGCAGTTTGTGTTACCTAATTAATTTATAGTTTACTTTTTTTAGCTGGCATAAAAAAAAAATTATTAAGCAACAAAAATGATATAAAAAATACTTACCATTGGATATATCCTGTAGAGGTGGTCGTTTGTTCTCAGACATTGTGAAGGTACCTTTTATATAACATATTTAACATTTTTAATGATAGATTGTTTATAATATGTAACTGGAATAAAAACAATTAAGTAATTGGCCATTAACTAAAAACTAACCGTTAAGTATATCGCTTGTTGCACTTGAAGGTAATGGCTTTCGTCCTCCTAACACAAAATGCCTTGATTTACTGTTGCTGGTTGTATATTCCATGCTTCGCGTACTAATTTGTATATCCAAAGATTCTTTATTAACTGAAAAGACATAACATGTTTGTAATATGTTATAACCTGTTAAATAAAATTTTACAAACTTTAAATAGTTTACCTGTTGTAAGAGCACTTTTTGGTCTATCATTTGAATTACAATATGGTTGTGGTGTGTATTCCACTTGTGGATCATTAGTATTCTCTTCTTGAATGGTATCGTTGTTCTCTACATTTTATGCAATGACAAAAAAAAAATATTGTCAAAAACCATACATGAATTAAAATCTGTATTAAAATTACAATGGTACACACAGTACCGTGTAACCTAAATATAATATATGCAATATCGAAACGCTAACATAGTTAATAACGTTTTGTGAATAATGTACATTTTGTATTAATTAAAACTGTTTCTGACATTCACGGTCCACAATCTTGCGTGGATCATGACAAACACAGTACTAAAAAATGCCACATAGTACAGTGCAAGAAATAATGCAATGTAAAAATGGTAACATATTTAAACACTATTAGAAGCTATGTATTATAAGAAATAATGCATTACTTTAAATCGTGAATACATTAACCATGGTCTACACAGTACCGTGTAACATAATTAAAAATCAAATAAAAAATGGTAAATGCAACTAATGTAACATTTCTTACAAAAATAATGTACCTTAAATACACAAATAATTAAAACAATTAATATGTTGTTTTGAATGTTGTTAGTGTAGAAGAAACAATTTTCCTCATGTGGTATGTTGTTTTGAATGTTGCAATTATGATATCTGTTTGTAGTTGGAGTATGCATATTTGCTATATCTTGAATGCTTTATTAGGTGACCATCATTAATGTTTTGACATATACTAAAATGATTATGATTGTTCAATTTTTTTTTTTTTGGAAAACCACAATGCAGTATACTATTCCTGTAATTGAATACACATGTTCCCCCTTATATTTTTGCACTTCTTCATTTTACACATGTACAAACACTGTTTTAAAGTCTTTTGGCAAATGATGAATCTTTAAATCTGATGCCATTATTGTACACTACAGTTTAATACATGTTAGATGATGGCCTGCTAACTGTGATGGTAATTATTACTCAATGTAGAACTATCTATAAAGAGATAGTATATTTGATCACTTACTAAATGAGAAATACATATTTTTCAGATTTTAATATAGGACTATATACTTATACTCTGATGAATTCTATTATTTTGTTTAGAATTTGATCAGTTTGACCAAGTCTAGATTTAAATGAAAGTAATGTTGATTTAAATGTCTATAATGTAGGACCGTGTATAAATGGCTAAACTATTTGATTCCTTTGAATTTTAGTTTTTGAATGACATAATTTGTGTGTTTGATTGATTATCTGTGAAGTGTTACATTTTGACTATTGTTAGATGTTATTATTTTTTGGTAGTTTGGTAATGAAAATCTTTTAAATGTGTGATTTTTAAAGTAAAATAGCATTGTGTATACAGTTTAAATATTGACAGATGGCTATATTTAAATCAGTTTAGAAAATTGTGTTCGTTCTTGATTCTTTGACAAATGATGAATCTTTGTTTCTGATGCACATATTGAATGACTAAAATAGATTTTTAATACATGGAATCTTTATTTGTTTTGACATTTTTTTTTTTGCACAAAGATTGAATACATGTTACATGATGATTTGTGGCAGTGCTGCCAGATTCTTAGATATCACAGCTTCTTAGTGTTCACATTACAAATTAGTAGATTATATATTATGTAGTATGGGATGAGTATTTACTCTTCAAAGTACACAATAGTTGTTAGTTTTGTAAATTGTAGTTGTTGAAATGTTTCTATTTTAGATGTGTTAACATAAAAAACAGTCCTCTAATGTGTATTTTTTTTTTTTATACAGAAATTGACATGATGATATAGTTTGCCAATTTGAAAATACCAGTGTGATCTTGTAATGTACTAAACATCAGTGTGAGTTTTTACTGGTAATTTGAAGGCTCTAACGTGTATCATATTTTTTGTACAATTCTTGAAAGTTTCTTGAATACATTGATTTTTTTAAAATTTTTTTGAAGTAATGTATTCTATTTAGTAAGGTTTTAATTTAGTTAGGACAATCATAATTAGATTGGATTTTCAGCAAGCTATACTATATATATATATATATATATATATATATATATATATATATATATATATATATATATATATATATATATATATATATATATATATTTTAATTCACCAAGCCAATTTTAATTTTTAAGTAATGTTCATTTAAAAGTCTAGAATATAGGACTATCTTTTTTTGAATGCTACTACTTGTGAGTATTAATATTATTATCTGTGTTTATAATTGTATAACCTAGGATTAGTTTTCTATGGTTAGAATGAGTCTACTGTCTGTATCCTATTAGATAGGAGTAGTTAGAGGTAGACTGAGATATACTCTCCTGTAATTCTATCGTTGGTTAATTGGAATTGATTTTGAATTCTCATATGGTATCAGCCTAAACACGATCCTCCACCACAAAAACGCTACCCCCCTACCCATGTCGTCGAACTCCTCCGATCGCACTCCATCTGCCGTCGGCGGTTCATCTCCGGCGAACCCGAACCCCCTCGCCGGAGCACACCACTTTATATCCATGAAATTAACCTCTAGGAATTTTCTGTTTTGGAGAACCCAGCTAATACCCTTTCTTAGAGGCCAGGATTTGATCGGCTTTGTGGATGGAACCACCCCATGCCCGGCAGCCACTCTCACCACGGTCTCCGGCAATTCCGGTACCAGCACAACCACTACGGCGACAGCCCCGAACCCAGCATATAAAACATGGATACTCCAGGATCAGTCGATCCTTTCTCTATTAATATCCTCGATTTCAGATGAGGTATTGCATCTCGCGGTTGGCCGGAATACCGCCGCCGACGTTTGGAAATCAATCTGCTCCGCTCTCGGCTCCAACACGCAGGCTCGTTGTCTGAGTTTGCTGGGCCAATTCCAGGCGCTCCAGCAAG